TATATATATATTCTTTCGCACGGGAGTGGCATTCGCATGTCTGAGGTCAATAAACGATGCGTATCATACAGAGAATGCAGGAAGTTTGTTGTCGAAGCTAACAGTACGGTCGTGAATAGATACAGCCACTATCGTCGATCTGCCAGGAATCTGTCAAAGGACCACCTGCTCTCTGTGTGGCAGCGACAGACCCAGCAGGGAAGGCACACAAAAGCTTTGTTCACGGAGTAGGGGGGGGGGCGTGGAGAGATCTCGCTACGTTTAGCATTTACCCCACACAACGGGTTGCGGAAAGAATCAGGGTTACGCGGGTCAAGCTAAGATACTGCCTGCCTTCCAATGAGCGAACGAGTTCTACCGAACGAAAAATAACAAACTCAACATCGATTGTCGATGGCGATTATTCGCCGAAGGACGAGAGCAGATTAGAGGATAAACGTGGCGAGTAAACAACTGAAAAAGCAGCGCGAAATGCCGCATAGATATATATAGCAGGTAGTGAGTTCTAGTGACCGCAAGATCGATCACTAGACACACACGACAGCGTACCCCGCGGTGAACTTTGACCATTGGACGCAGGCAGATGTGCTACCGTCTACATTTGTGAGACCGTGCGCGTGTGTACACGGACTACGACTACACCGAGAATAAAGTAATAGCCTAGCTACTGCCTAGGTGTATAGTGCCTGTCATATACCGCTAATTATTCTCACACGTCTACTGTCACTCGTAGCTATTGTTGAACAATATTGTGAGCCGGTTAGGGGTCCGTCAGGCTCGTCAGGCGCACACGCACACGCACACACACGCATGCTCACACGCACAGTGCTGATTACACACAACTAGCTACCCTACCCAGCAAGAAGCATCCATATTCAACAGTATAGTCTTCAGCCCTTAGCCAATAAATTAGTTCGAAAGACAGTCATAAAGAAAAAAAACTCGTACATTTCTCACCATAAAAAATTAAATAGATACTTTCGACTTATATATTTTCATTACTATTTGCCATGTGGTTGTAAAACAGCAGTAAATTATACTCACACTACAACCTTAAATAACTAGATAACAGGATTCGCAGACTTCTATATAGCAGACTGAGTAATACACACGTGACAGTAGACATGCAAACACAGGGATTATGCGACATAAGAAGTCTGACACTTAAATGTATCATTATTAAAATATATGATCATAAAACGTCATCAAAAACAAACTGTGATTTATATCGATCGTGTATGTTAGATAAGAGTGTCTACAACACAAGATAGCTGTGGGATGAGGGTGGGAAGAAGGGCGGGCATAGCGAGTGAGGAGGAGAGGGGGAGACAGATAGAAAGAGAGAGAGAGAGAGAGAGAGAGAGGGAAAGAGCGCGAGAGAGGGGCAAATATGAAGAGAAGAGAGAGGTAGTGTGTAATAGAGGCGGCGGGTTTGGGTGTAGTATAGAGAGAGATGGCGAGGGCAAGAGCAGTGGGTAAAAGAGAGGGTGAGTGAGAGAGAGAGAGAGAGAGAAAGAGAACTGAGGGGATAAATTCTAGTTTCATTTATTTCTACTTGCGCGGGGAGAGAGAGAAGCGAGACCAAGCCGCGCCTGTGAGAGCGAGAGAGAAAGAATGCGCGCGAGAGAGAACGCGCGAGCTGAGGGCGGCAAAGTGAGTGATAACTCTTCGTTGCATCTACATCAAGAGTACATAATAGATCTATTACATCTATTAGATATATAGATAGATCTATTAGATATAGATAATAGCCTACATAATAATCTCTATTATGTACTCTGGATCTACATCGCTTCCTCGTGCTGCACGCGGTGGCGAGAGCTCCACCACTAGATGACAGCAGCCGTTAAAACCCTTCGATTACTCCCGTCCGTCACAGCGCCGAGTTTAGTGTCAACGAAATGTCCCCTCGCGCAGAAACTATGGACCCGAATACACTTGACCACATTCACGACCATTGTCGCAAACGCGCCTGCGGGCAGGGTCGAACCTGTGGCGGGGACAGGTAATAGGGTCATATATAACACGGGAACTGTGAGAGGGAAACAATCGCTCCACTTTGTCGCCTGTTCGTGCGCGCGTGATCAGGTTTACTTTGCCTCTAGTTATACGTTGTTACTCAATAACCTTCTCGCACGCACGTACTACAGCGAGTATATCTTTCACGCACGGTCGCGCTGTATATGCGTGCGGTTATTAGTCGTATTATACCGCTGCACACGTCTGGAAATTTATACGCGGTCAACTCTCCCAATACCGACCACCATTGGGAGTGTCTATGAAGTTCGGTCAGTCTTACATGTCTCAGATGGGGTTGGGAAAAGATTCGTCCGGTCCGATTCAGTTTTGAAAGGGCGTTCGGAATTCGGAAAGTTGGCTGTAGGAGTGTAGGGGCATATCGACTGTTTGTAGAACCGATTATACGAAGTGTGGACTGGCTAATCATTAGCCGTGCTTATTATGACAGAACTATAAAAACTACGGCTCACATAAAACCAAAAGCATGACGACTACAGCGTTAATTTTGCCACCTCATGAACGCCTATGAGCTTGTTACCCAACCATGATGTTACCAGACTTAATGCTGAGCTGTGCGCGGGTGAATGGAGGCCATGCCACCACGGTGTTACAAGTGACGTACTGCAATAACGAAAAGTGTGCACTATAGCTGGAAGTCTATAGTCTAGAGCCGCTATAGTATTTTCGTAACTGCCCTTAGGGAATAGGCTTAATTAATTAAACGCTTGCACTACACCTGCTGCTGCAGAGCGTACAACCCAGATCAGAGAGCCCAGCTCTGACTCGCTTACATTTCAAACGCAGCTGAAGTGCCACAATAGACATCCACACCACATCGGAACGTCCACCTTGCGGGCAGTTACAAAAACATCGTACCATTGCGAAAACAAACGCGGCTCAATAAAACGAAGCAGGTTTTTACATGGGCAACCTTCATCGCTCCCTGAAGACAGACAGACAGACACTTCTCAGACTGTAGAGTTGACTAAGAAGGAGATGTTCAAGCGCGGATTCAAAGATGTAAGTGGTATATGTCTAAAAAAATAGGAAAATCGTGGGACATTCCGACAACAGTGGCCGTAGGCCACTGAATGGGGAGGGGGCGAATGTCACCCCGAAGGGCACCTGGCATGTCCTTGCGTAGAAGGGGGTGTTCGACATAAACTTTGGGGGATTTTCAGTGTCCTTATAGTTATACGCAATTTCATGCCATCTCACAGAATCAGAATCTTTATTGAAAATATCAGAAAATCGGAATTCCTTCAGAAATCGGAAAACTTACATCTCGGGATCGGTATGTGTGCTATTTGAATTCAAAATGCCATATCAGTGATATCACCCGTACGTAGCGTACAATCAAGAACCAATAATGGATCATGTATTATTATAGCTCTTGATACAATGCAATAATTATCATCGGCAACATTCAATAAAGTCCATTGTCCAGGTGACACCCACCACTCACTCTTGCTAACAATTTAGCAAAGCAGTTCAATTAGTGCTGATATAGGGCTATCTGCGTACGTCGTTGTTGTTTGGCAGCTTTATTGTAGCGGTATTATTTCGCGGTACAAGGTGTAGCGGATATTTATGCGCGCGTTTCCACTCGTAGATAACCTGTTATTTACAGAGCGCGAATAATGAAAACAGTTTGCAATGGTCTAATGACTCTGCCGGTGCAAACTAATCTCACAAAATACGGCCCCAGCACGCGCACACACAATGTCGATGCGAGTGTATTGTAACGACCAGAATCGTGCAGGCACTAGACAGCCGTGGACACATTTTCCTCCACACAAATCGGGAGTATACCTATACTAGCTATGCAAATAGAATGGCGCGACTACAAATTACAATCGTCACGACGCTGTGGATGGAACGTAGCTGCCACGTAGGCACAGCCTGTAGTGTTTGTTATACGTTGACGGTTGTCCGTTCGCGTGTTACTTACATTTGTTAGAACACGGTAAAAAGCCGTCGTTGTGTAACAACGTCAATCGGACCTCGTTGCATCGACGCTATCGACCCCAGCAGATCATGTAGTGCCAACAACAGATAACCCAAATCGCAGCTCAAGAAGGGGGCAAAATAATATAAGCCCCTACTATAAACACGCCACACATAGACGCAACATGGAATCATACATAATCTAAAAAAAACTAACCCTAAAGTGATCGTTCATTTAATCGGTTTAAAGCGCAGGTATTTGCACAAACAGCGTTGTAACTCCTATAATGATACTACAAAGAAAGGTGCAAGTCCCCCTTTTCCTTACTAGTAGTAATGTTAGGACCTTTGTAACGGCGTAATTGCACGAAATATATAGTCTTTGTATCTGCATACTTGCACGAAAGCTCACTACGCCCGAAGCTGGAATATAATCTTTCACGCGCATGTAGCAAAAATATATATTCACGGAAAAAAACAGCGATACAGGGCTTTCGCAAACACAAAGGTTGAGCTCCTTCGCCGGGATAAAAAGCCGTAATAACTGTAATTTACCTGGCCTCATGTCCAGGTGTTTAGCCGCAGGGAACACCCTTATATCCCTCACCCGATCATTACGCATTGTTTACACGCGAATCTAAAACGGTGTGTCAGTCGGGGGTCTGGGGTTGTCTAAGAAAACTGCCGATTCAATAGCTCTGTGAGAGCGTGGGTACGAACACATCTGGTCGGAGAAGGACGTGAACAAACGTATATACAGCCAAACCCTAGAAATATAATACGGCCGCGTTTCTATAGCAGGATATGAGTCATATAGTGTAGGTGTGTTATGTTTTTCCATCGCCAATAGCACTCACACTGACAGTCAATCAATAATGATTATATTCTTGTTATTTAGTGCCAAAGCACTGCAGTATATAAAAATTATTTATTTCACGGCAGTATTATACTGTGCTTTTTACATGTAAAGCCGCCTGGTTAAATTGATATCCTCGTAACGAATATTTCTCAGAGTCCTTGTGACTGTAACAGATTATTGTTCTTCGGTAATGTCTTGAGGGTTACTCATGCATATATATGTAACGGCACAGTTTGAAACAGTATTCCAGGGGCGTGTACAGGGGGGTCAGGGGGGCGGTGGGGGTCCGGACCCCCCCCCTGCTCGCGCAGAAAACGCATCTAAGGAGGTCTAATTTCAAAAATTTAGTTGCTTCGCGTGCTCGCAAGTTTGGGTTACGGTTAGACCCCCCCCTGGTACAAATCCTGTACATGCCCCTGTATTCAGGTCGTATTGCAAGTTTCAGAGAGAAATAATTACTCTTCCATATGTGATTATAGTATAGTGTATTAATTATCATGTTGTCATTTAAACGAAATCAACACATATTTACCCAAATACAAACTTGTGACAAAAATCTCCAGCAATTGGATGACATCGTCATCATTAATTACAAGTTTAGTAATGCTGTACAGTGTACGTTTAGACAATAGACAATATACGATGGGGCACAGGGGTGCATTTCCAGTGCCCCCCGTAAAAACATACTACGTATATCCCATTTCATAGTTGATTAAAACTGCAATTTTCATTTACCATATTTTTCATAAAATTCGGACTCCTAGATCTACTTGATATTTGCCAGTTCCCAGATTATTGCGGTCCAATCCCACGGCCCGAAAATAACCGTTCCTCCTTTAATACACATTACATTGTCCAAGATAAAACACAGAATTTGCTTCAACAAAGACCCGTGCACATACTAACCAGCTTGAGCATTCAGCGACGCTGAGTTGCCATCGCCTGGACCTCTCAACGCTGGTTCCAGTGAGTGTGACTCTACCATCTTCTCATGCTGCCAGGATTTGAGGACGTCCACAATGTTCCTCCTATTCATGCCATATATCGGCTGTTGAAGAACGGCCTTTTCGCTCGTCATGTCTATCATCGAGTTCTGCAGCTTGTCGGCAGCATTAGCGCGCGTGACTCTGCCGTACAGTTCCTCCTGCGCTTGCGGTTGCTTACCGGGTGGAAGATTAAAATAACTACTGTACTTGGGAAATTTTTCGTAAACTGGAACTCGTCGTTCTCCGAGCACGGGCATGCTCATGCGATGGTGCGGGTGCGAGTTGATGGTCGTCGGGCGGACCGTGGCCATGTTCGGAGGCTGGGTGGATTTCGCGCTTGTGCCGAGGGGTTTAACAAGCGGCCTTTCTTGTTTGACATTTTTGTCACTTCTGAGATTCACTTCTGCGACTAGTCCTAACTTCTTGTCGATTTCTCGACGCTCACTTTCCCTACTCTGGTCTCGTGCCTTCTCAGACATAAACAGTTTATCACAATTTTTCTCAGCTAGTTTGTTATATTTGTCACTATTGTTTGCATTATGGCCATTTTCGAGTCTGCTCTCGTGGTTAGGACTAGGAGGGCCACATTCACGATCAATATTGCACGCGCGAACATTGTTAACACTTTTCGTCGTTCCAGAACTAGAATCCTGAAGTAACGCGACTTTTAATCCACAGCAGAAATTCTCAAAACTCAAGAGTCCACTGCTAGGCGTACGTTTTCTGAGCGCCTCCAGCACACCTACGGGCAGTTGAACTTGGTTAGACTTGTTGGCAGGTATGGGAGCCCATCTTCGCTCAATCTCAGATAATTCAATGAGACCAGTCCGATTATCATCCAAAATATCGAAGAGCGTGCGCATCGCGCTTACAAACGGTTTCGGAAACGAATCCAAAGTTGGGTTGTTGCTTTCCGTGGCCATGATGACAAATTGGTCGCACACTACGTCGCCGAAGGTAATTTTTATCACGACTATTATTACACTTACAGTGTAACAGTAACACAACTACGACTCATTCTTGTTCGAAGAATCCTTTGCGTTTGAACGTCCGCAAACTGGAAAACGCTCCTCCGCTCCGGATTGTTTATATAGCTTGTAGCGACACCTGGTAGTGTTAGTAGTAATAATAACTTTTATTTATTTATTTATTTATTTAT